TGAAACAGCAAGTCTGCTTGTTCCCTTTGCTTCGGGCAGCCCTGTTCTCTTATTCCAACTGAGTGGCAATCCCGCCCCACTAGCTACTACAGACACCTTCTTCTAGCCCTCAGCTTTGAGCAGTGGATCCAGCTCCATTCTCCTGGCACTCATGAGCAGCTGCACACTCTGAAACCTAGTTGGTGAAGATCTGATTCTTTGAAACTTAGGAGATATGACCTCATCCTTTGAGACCCAGCAAGCTATGGTTCCTCCCTTTGAGACCCCAGAGATTGTAGCCTTATCCTTGGAGACTGAGCCAACTCAGCTTCCTGTATTCCTTGTCTCTTGGGCTTCTGCTTCCTGACTCCTTGGCCTCTCAGCCCCTCAGCCCCTCGGGCTTTTTGAGCTGGCCCAGCCTCTGTCCTGCTTAGACAAGAGTTATAAAGCCCTTTAGCTCTACTAATAAGTACCTGGAGAACCCCACTCTTCCAGGAAACCTTGTGCCTGAAGGCACTCAGATCTCTTGCTCTGAGAGTTGGCTCCGAGACTGTTTAGCACCAGTCTCCTGGTTCTGCTGCCTTCATTTCTCTGCCACTGCTTCTTGCCATCTGTGAAACCTATAGTGTTGGAGCTCTCTTCACTTCCTTCTGAGCCCTCACCAGAATTGTCTTTAACATTCATAATCCCACCAACAATCTCTTCAAGACAATCTAGGCTTTTAGTATTAAAACTCTTCCAGTCTTTACCCATTACTCAATTCCAAAACTGCTTCCATATTTTAGGTATCAGTTAGAGTAGCACCCTACTCTTCCAGTACCAAATTCTGTCTTAGTTATCTATTGCTGCTATAACAGAAATACCACAAGTGGATGGCTTTAACAGATGTGTATTTCTATCTCACCGTTTTAAAAATAAAATAGAATAAAATAAAAAACAAAACTCACTGCTGTCAAGTCAATTCCGACTCATAGCTACCCCTCCTTGGGTTTCCAAAGAGGTATCTCTTTAGAAGTAGATTGCCCAACCTTCCTTCCAGGGAGTGGCTGGTGGGTTTGAACCACCAGCCTTCTGGTTAGCAGTCAAATGCCTTAGGCACTACACCCCTAGAGAGTTTAGGAAGCTAGAAGTCCAAAGTCATGGTACCACTCTAAGTCTTTTTTCTCTGTTGGCAGTGGGGAAAGGTCCTTGTCTTCTTTCAACACCTGTGAGGCCTGGAATTCCTTGAAGATTACATGTGTTCTAGAATAAATCTTCCTGAGTCTAGGGGGTTCTTAGCACAGGAACCCTGGGTCCAAAGGATGCACTCCAATCCTAGTTCTTCTTTCTCAGTGGTTCTGAGGTCCCTCCGTCTCTGCTTTCTTCTCTCTCCTTTTATCTCTTGTAAGATGAAGGGTGATACAGGTCACACCCCAGAGAAATTCCCCTTACATTGAATCAGGACTGTGACCTGGATAGGGTGTTGCATCCCCCCTAATCCCCTTACAACTCATTGGCTGATCACATGAGATCATGTCATGGGTGGTGATTATGTCATTATATAACTGTTGAATTACATTATTACATAACTGCCAAACTATATCATTACATAACTGCCAAACCACAGCGTGCCCAGCCATGCTGACGCAACTAACCATGACAGAAAATGTAATGACATATTTAAAGTACTGAAAGAAAGAAAGAAAGAAAGAAAAGTGCAACCCAGAATTCAATACATAGTGAAAGTGTTTTGAAGACAAAGGAGTACTTTCTCAGCAATCAAAAATTTAGGAAACCCATTTTCCTGCACACCTCTTCTACAAGAAACATTAAAGGAATTTTTTCAGACAGAATGAATGTGGTATCAAACTGAATATTGGATTCACACAAAGAAATGAAGAGTGTTGTAAGTGGAAAAAAATGAAATTTGTTTTCCTTTAATTGTTCTAAGAGGTGACTGACTACCTAGAGATGTAATAAAAGCAATGTATTATGTTTATAGAATAAATTAATATAGTACATATGACAAAAATAGCACAATAGATTATGGAGGGTAATTGGAAATATACTGTTGTAAGGTCTTTACAATACATGTAAATCAGTATATTATTTGACTGTGATGAATTCGATATGCATTTAAACACGAGCAACAAATAAAAAAAGTTATAAATAATAAATCAATAAATATGATAAAGAGCAATCATTTTAAAATGCTGAATAAACCACAATAGATAGTGGAAAAAGAGGGGAAAGAAACCAGAGAACAGATATGACAAATGGAAAATAACAAACAAGAAGACAGATTTTAATATGACTGTATCAACTATATTTGTGCACATTCCAAAGAAAGGTGATCTAACAGAAGATGGAAATTGTTGAATAATATCATTAATATCGCGTGCAAATAAAATTTTGGTGAAGATAATTAAAAAATGGTTGCGGCAGTATATTGACAGGTAACTTCCAGAAATTCAAGCTGGATTCAGAAGAGGACATGGAACTAGGCATACCATTGCTGATATCAGATGGATCTCGGCTGAAAGCAAAGAATACCAGAAAGATGTTTACTTGTGTTTTATTGACTATGCAAAGGCATTCAACTGTATGGATCATAAAAAATTGTGGGAAACATTATGAAGAATGGGAATTCCAGAGCACTTAATTGTGCTTATGAAGAACTTGTACATAGATCAAGAAGTTATCATTGGAACAGAACAAGGGGATATTGCATGGTTTAAAATCAGGAAGGGTGAGTGTCAGGGTTGTGCCTTTTCACCATACTTATTCAATCTGTATGCTGAGGAAATAATCCGGGAAGCTGGACTACTTGAATATGGCATCAGGATTGGAGTAAGACTCATTAACAAAGTGCAACATGCAGATGGCACAACCTTGCTTGCTGAAAGTGAAGAAGACTCGAAGCACTTATTGGTGAAGATCAAAAACTATAGTCTGCAATAACATAACATAAAGGAAACAAAAATCCTCACAACTGGACCAGTCAGCCACATCATGGTAAAAGGAGAAAAGATTGAAGTTGTCAGGAATTTCATTTACTTGGATCCACAATCAACATGCATGGAAGCAGCAGTCAAGAAATCAGATGTTGTATTGCATAAGTCAAATCTTCTACAAAAGACATCTTTAAAGTGTTAAGGAGCAAAGATGTCACTTTGAAGACTAAAGTGCGCCTAACCCAAGCCATGGTACTTCCAATTGCCTCATACACATGTGAAAGCTGGATAATGAATAAGGAAGACCAAAGAAGAGTTGATGCCTTTGAATTGTGGTGCTGGTGAAGAATACTGAAAATACCATGGACCACCACAAGAATGAACAAATCTGTCCTGAAGTGCAGCCAGCATGCTTCTTAGAAATGAGAATGGCCAGACTTCATTCATCTCACCTACTTTGGCCATGTTGTCAGAAGGGACTATTCCTTGGAAAAGGATATCATGCTTGGAAAAGCTGAGAGTCAATGAAAAAGGAGAAGCCCCTCAACAAGATGGAATGACACAGTGGCTGCAATGACGATGGTGCAGGCCTGGGCAATATTTGGTTTCGTTGTACACAGGGTCGCTATGAGTTGGCACCTAACAACAATATATCTGTGATCACATTACAGGTAATTATAAATCTCTGCCTCCATCTTCATGAACATGCTGTCTCCTCTTCAGTCTGTCTCTTCTGTGTGTCTCTTATAAAGACATTTGCCATTGGATCTAGGGCTAACCTGGAAAATCACCTCATCCTCACATCCTTAATTACATTGGCAAAGGCCCTTTTTCTAAGTAAGTCAATATTCACAGGTTCTGGATAACAAAAAGTGGACGTATCTCTTCGTGGGCTACCATTTAGCTAACTACACCACCCTTTCCATGACCTTTCTCTTTTTCTTTAGTGTCAGATTCTATTACTTGCAACCAAAAGAACTTAAACAGTTTGGTCTCTATATTAGTGGCAGCCATTGTAAGTGGGTTGTACCATCTGTAATGCTAAGCCCGACTTCGTAAGTTTCTCCAATTTTAGTATAATAAGAAATACTGTGGAGCTTGTTAAAAATTGAGATTGCTGCCTCCCCAGAGTTGCTGAATAATTTGGTCAAGGAATCTACATTTTTAACATCTCCCAGATGGTCCAGATAATAAAAGAACAAGGATAATTGTGAAAGCTCAGACCCCTTCATGTCCCATTGAAATGAAAACAAAGGAGAAGCAATGAAAAATAATTTGAAAACTTTAATGATGTTGTTTATACATTAAAATCATAAAATCTTTTAAATAAGGTACATTCAATTTCTCAGAGCATCTAATATTCAGATAACTTATATTTCATACACCTTCCAACATTAAACAATTGACTAAATCATACATTTTCTATACAATGATAACAGCTTATCCAGGTAAAATTATATTACAAAAACATTCCACATAGGAAGAATTGCAGTACCTATTCAAAAATGCTACACACTTTCCATTTAAAAATATATTTTCTTTCATCTGTCATAATAATAAACAGAATATAATTTTTTTCTTGCTAAAATTCAGTCTTACACAATTTCCCTTTAGGATGACAATATATACAAACCTTGTATCTGAGTGAATATAAATAGCAAATACTGAAATAGTGTTACAGATATATTAGTAACTTTTACAGAAAAAATATGGCTTTTTAATAAAAGCCTCTAGCAACTACTGAAATCCCAAAGCTACTTAAGTTAGACATTCCCATATTTAGTAAGGCACGATGGAGTCTAGATTACATTATTTCCAGTTGAATTACTGCAAGCAGTAATAAAGGGAACTATAGTCAGTAGATAATAGGACCAGATCTGACAGGTAGATAAACTATTTGGGGTTTATTAAACTTTGGGGGAGTGCTAGTTCTTTCTCCACACCATGGTTTCTTTTAGTGCCCTGGGCAAAATCTAGTCATTGGTGATGAGAAAAGCATCACTGTACCCCCTCAGATGCCTGAGAAACAATTTATACACCCATTGGATCTGGCTTATTGTGAGGAAACAGCCCAACCACCATTTCCAGTTACAAGCAGCTTATTTTCACTGATTGGACCTGGTTCCCTATCATTTCTAAAAACAGCTTCTGATATAATCTGTACATTGTGAAGCTATGAAGGAACCTGATGGTCTTCTTCAGACTCTGAGTGACAGTTTTGGGCAAGTGGTACGCTTTCATGTGCTTCAGGCCATGCATCAGGCCCTTCAGGGTGTCTTGGTCGCCATTTTTCATTCTCCACAGGCTGAGCAGCTTCAGTATCTGTTCACTTGATTTGCATGCCTTTGTTGTTCTCTCGATGTCTTCCGTTCCAACTTTCTTCCCGGGCAAGCTGTCCATCAAGCTGCTCAGCTGCTCGAAGGTGAGGTTGCTGTGCCCGATGTGCCGCTGCACATTGTTTTCACAGAGGTCAATATCTGCATAAGGCAAAGGCCCAAAGAGAGGTTACCGTCATTTACTTTTAATGCCACCACAAAACCAGCCTGTGGCAAAAGGTTCTCCCAGGATTTCATCATTGTATTTAAAGGATAACCTTTTCTTTGTTCTTTTGGGAGGGAGTGGGGCTTCAGTGACACTATTTTGGAGAACTGAGATAATTATTTTTGTATCTTAATGAGAAAACATGCTATATATTCTAGGTACCCAACAAAGCTTTGTTAAACCAGTTGCCATTGAGTTTATTCCAACTCACGGTGACCCCAAGTGTGTCCACAGAACTGTGCTCCAGGGAATGTATAATGGCTGATTTCTTGAAAGGAGATCACTAGGCCTTTCTTCCAAGCTGCCTCTGGGTGGCTATGAACCTACAACCTTTTGAGTAGCAGCTAAGTGTATTAATCATTTGAATCACCCAGAGATCCAAATCCTTGTTAGAAGTGCCTAATTTTTGAAAAATTAGCAGCAGAAAATTGTAGACATACTCTTAGGTCTCTAAGAAAAGTTGGTATAATTTCAGAAACTCCTTAACATTTCAAAACAACAGAAATTATTTTGCAATATTAACTTTCATCATTTGATATCTGATATAGGCCCTATTTGAAAAGAGGTGGCTACTTCCACTATAGGAGCTCTGGTAGCGTGGTGCCTAAGGCACTTGACTGCTAACCAGAAGACTGGCAGTTCAAACCCACCAGCCACTCCTCGGAAGGAAGGCTGGGCAATTTACTTCCATAGTGGTACCACCACGGAAACCCAAGGAGGGGTCGCTGTGAGTCGGGTTCGACTCGACAGCACACAACAACAACAACACTTCCACTATCCTTTAATAAATATACATAGCATCAGAGCATTACTACTGTGGAGGGAAATATCTGAAAACCCAATAATCTGAGGCCAAGGAACTGGAGAATACACACAGCCTAGAGAATACTGTCGTGATGAGCTAGGGCATAAACATGAGTGAGTCACTAATGTTTCTATTAATGACATAAGTCATTTACGATCTTTGAGCCCTAAAGCAAGTCAGTTCATCATTCTGTGCTGAACTGTCCTCATTCATAAAGTGGGGAATTTGGTCCCTTCAGAGTTTAACAGTCTCTGATTCTCTACTTGCTTTTGTTTTTGCTTTAGGGCTGATTATACATTCAAAGAATCCTTTTAGCTTGCAGAAAACAAAATAAGTTTACCCTTTTGCACAAGCAACGCATTCAGCTGTCAAACATTTTGCTCTTGATATCTGTTACCCTGGTTTCGTATGTTTCAGGCCTTTAAGGTAGTGTAGGACTGTGTATTGACTTAACTGTTAGTGAAGAACAGATTGCATTTCTCGTTGACACTACCTGCGTTAGGAAAGCCTTTTATTTTTCACTGGTGTGTGTCCCAATGCTAATCGAGGTCAGAACTCCTTCCTCCGTATACAGTAAAGCTTACAGTCCCCACCATACTGATGAAGCCCTCTGTTTCCCTCTGGATTCTTTCCTTTCTCTCTCTCTCTCTTTCTTTCTCTCTCTCTCTCCTCTCTCACCATTTCTAAAGGAGATTCTTTATAAGCCTCCTAAAATATGAGAGTACTTGGTTTTAAACTAGCTTTTTCCTCCATGAAGCTCAAACAGTTTTCAGACCTTATCTCATTAATCCTTACAACATATGTTATTAAAATGGTAATTTTAAAATAGGCTATGTTGTGAGGATTAATGAGAGGATATCTGTAAGATACTTGGAGCCTCTCTGAAGAAAATTACCAAATAAATACAACATAGAAATACAAGCTAAGATCCAAAGTGGTTAAAGGACATCTAGGTAGGACAGAGGGAATGCTAACACAACATCTAAGGAGTCTGGAAGCTCTACCCCTGCATTTGAAATGCATTATTTCTTCTTTTACAGTTTACACTTACCACCACCACCTCCCCAAAGAAGTGAGAAGGGGCAGTCATAAAACTTTGCATAACTAGTAGGAATAACATCTACACTGCCACAAATGGAAACTTTTCTCAGCCCAACAATGATTCCAAAGGGAAGCAGCATCTACAAAACTCAGTAGGCACATAGTATTGTTCCTATTTTAAATGTTCTCTGATTTCTGATTGACTTGTTTATTCCAAGTTACTATACCTTGGATGATCTTCTTGACTATATCTTGGTCTTTGTTCTGATGTTTCCATAACTTCAGCAGCTGGAAAGTCTGTTCTTGTGAGCTGTGTCGCCGTTTTATCCTCTCTACACTCTCTGCATTGACTTTGGTGCCAGGCAAATTGTCCACCAGGACACTGAGCCAATTAGGGGTAAATTTTGTAGGAACAGCAAATCTGAAGAACGCTTCCTCGCATAGGGTGATATCTATGAAGGGGAAAAACCAAAAAGATTTACTCAACTGTTAAATTCTTGGAAGTCAACTGGACATTAACCAAAATAACAAAGCAATGCAGATGAGTTTTTCAAGATATAATATGCTGAAATGCAGGGTTTGAACAAAATCAACCTTCTATTGGCTGGTCCTAGTGGCTGAGTTGCCTACTCAATGGGGCTCATTCATATTCTCTCTAAGGTTTCCTTTGGGGACATAAGGGTTTTGAGGGAGGGAGAGTTTAATAAATGTCTAAGATAATACTGACATAAATAAATTGCAGCCAAAAATGAATTATATAATTTAATGTAAATACTACATTCTGTTAAAGATTTACCTAGTGCCCACAGGGTACTTCAAAATCATTGTCAAAACAAACATCTCTGCCTTTAAAGAGCTTGAAAAGTAATCTAGAATAATATTTTATACATGCACATAAACACACAGTTTACCTTCGGGAAAAGGCAGGACATGGATACATACATGCAAACATATTCAAACACTAATACATGTCATTTAGAAAAGAGGTACAATGTCTTGGGTGTCTGGGTAAGGTAAGTCTATGCCAGGGTTGTCTTTGGATGTGTCACACTTAAGTTTGAATCCTCGCTCTGTCATTCATCACTTATGGGACCCTCAGCAACCTTCACAGAGTTATTGTAAAGAATAAGGCCCTTGGTGATGTGGGGCCTGACACATCATATGCACTCCGTGAATGACAAAAATAAAATAAGAAAGGAATTAAATAATTATAGAAGACATTAAACTTAGAAGATATCTAGAACTTCATTCCTCTTACTGCCCTTTCCTTCATTTAACTGTTCATATAAGAAAGTATAAAGGATACTCTATTTTATAATATGCCCACACATAACATGGAGACATGATGAAATTAAGTGAAATAGTTCTGGCCTGGTGCAGATAGCAAAAAAATGTATAAAGCATGTATTATTTGCATAAAATACAGGAAATTATTTTTCTGGTATTTGAATTGCATAGTGAAATTATGTTGACACTGGGATAGAATCTAAATCCTCTCACCCATATTTCTATATTTCATAAATTTATATACTGTACAAAAAGCTGTTTGGGGAGCGTCAAGCCACACCATGATGTTTTTTGATTAAATGAACACAATGCCATGAGCAGCTGACTTTCCCCAAACATCTTCAGTGTCTTGAGTCTCTAAGTAGAAGGTCTGAGACTAGACTAATGGTGGGACTAACATGGAGATGATTCCAACCTCTCAAGTGTTATTACCAATGTCAAATATACACACATAACTTGACCTTGGTGATGGTGACCCTTTCTGGGTAAAGAATTTAAGACAAACAGAGGAAATATAGAACTTCCATGCCATAGATGCAATAATTTCATTAGTAGCAAAGACAATTATATATTTTTAATATGTCACCAGTATATGCCACTTCACTTCTTATTTTGGCTAATAATAGAGACACTCTTAAAAGCAAGAAAAATACATGAAGTAAGTCATTCTACAATGTGGACTCTGCTAATGTGGCCTCAGCCACTGTTTACGCCATCTTTTTTTCCCCAAGGGAAAGATTTCAGTGTGTAAAGAAGGTGAGAATGGCTGGCTCTGGAGTGTGAGCTGTGAGACAATGAGAAATTTTTAAAGGACTTCAAGTAGTGGCTTTAGCAATGATGCACAGAGAACAGTCATAGGTGGTCACAATTCAAAAACAGGAAAATGTGAGTTTGACAAAGCAATTGGCCAGAGGGCCCTGTGTTCAACTCAAAGGGATACTATAAAAATGCTACAAAGGCTTAGATTTTGGGACATAATTACCTATTCCGCATTTTTGAGTGGATTCACTGTTTCCAGAACATATACTGTCATGCGTCACGTTTCCTTTCTGAATTAGCAGGAGACCAAATGCACTGCAATTTGTGTGTTTTCTACAGGGTGCTTTAGATGATGTCTCATCCGAGAAGAACCCATCTGGACATCTTTTACAAACTGTATTCCGCTCCGGGGTTCCTACAGAAAATACCAAGCGAGTTAGCACCTTCTTCTCAAATAGTTTCACAGCAGATACCTTCATAACACAGATTTAGAAAGACTTTCTGGCTGGTTTTTACTGCTACCGTTAAGTTGCACAAAACTTTAGACATTTCATTCTTCACTTCATTAGGCAGAGAGAGAGAGAACAAAACTTGTAGTTAGCCCTTTAGGCAGTCTCCTTTCCTTGTAATACAAATGCAAGTTTGTTTTGTTGTTACCTACAAAACACTCATTAAATCTGAGAGAAAAGGAAATGGTAGGGTATTCATTAGTCCTGCCTGTGCAAAACTGTCATAAGCCTGGTTGTCAGCTCTGTTCTTCACATGCTTATTCCTAGAAAAATCATGAAGATAATCACGTGTGTCTGCTATAACAGCATAGTTAGAAATCAGTACCCACTGAACGACACATCGTTAAATTCCAAACGGCTGTTAGTGAAGTTCTTTCTTTCCTGAATCCTAATTGTGAAGCGACTCATAACTATGCTAACCTTAAAAGTAAAAATTTACAACATTACAATAAACTTTGGAAGGTGGCAATAAAGTTGGCGTGGATTCAAAAGCGTAAGCCTGCAGTTAAACTACATAGTAAATGGAAGATGATATACCATTAGCTTAAACTGTTGTGTAAAAGAGCACAGTCATTAAAAGCTTCAGAGAAGGGTGATTGCAAGGGCATTTTATTTCAAGATGGAAAGATATTTGATAAATTTAGGGAAATCATTGGTAGGGAAAACTTAAGTCAGTCAACAACTAAAGATGCTATTAAAAATAAGTATCTTTAAACACTTGACTCTCTAATGCATGGACAGATCACACATTACAGTGTATTTGCATATGAGAATACCTCCATCTAGTGTAAGCTAGTTGAACAGATTAGACTTCAATGTTCAGATGTAGCTTTAACAGGCCGGTCTTGACTTAGCCATGAAAACATGTACAAAGGAAACAAATGAAAGCTACAGAAAGTTATCAAATTTCATTAATTAAAAATTCCAACCTCCTACTTCATTGTATTTTTTACTAGAAACAACTCAAAACTAAGGGGGATAAAAGAATTGCTTCTAGTTTCATCTCCTCCCCTTTCCTTTCTAAAGGGACTGATGATGACAAACTGACCAGTAAATGGCAAAACGCAAAGGCCTGAAACTTTCACTTGTTAAATGCCATGCCCAAGCTCTGCTGTGAGGTATCTTAGGAACCACCTTACAAAGAGGCCTTTGGGGGTGTCTTTGCAGCACTTAGACTATCACATCCCTCTTAGGCAGCATCCAACTCCACACCAAATCATACAGTATCACAAGGAGAGGTGTTCGGAGAGAGCTTCCATGATATTTTCCCAGTGCTAAAATCCTAAGAATAAGTGACTTGGAATCTGAAATCTAGATCCAAATCTCCTTTTGCCCTCTGCCACATGTTCTGGAAGAAAAAATTGTCATTCTTTATTTTTTTTTTCCTTTTTTTAACGTGAGTTGGGTGAAAGTTTACAGAGGAATTTCGTTTTTCACACAGCAGTTCATATACATTTTGTTTCACGGCATTGACTGCAGTTCCCCACAATGTAACAGCTCTCTTCCGACTTTCTCTCTGCAGTTACCTCTTCCCTGTGTTTTTCTGATCTATATATTCCTGCCCCCTGAGCTGTCTCCCTGTGCAAATACTGCCCTTCTGTTCTGCCACTATTCATCACTCCAAGGAGTGTATTTATCTGATGTAAATGTTCACCCTCCATGCCTGTCTGTTGTTTGGCTGGAACCCATGCGAGCGAGTTCAATTCCAGACCTGAAGGATAACTAGGGGCCACAATCTTGGGGGTTTCCCCAGACACTATCAGACCAGTAAACCTGAATTTTTTTTTTTAATGATTTTAAGTTTTATTCCACATTGTTCTCCCACTCTATCCAGGATCTCATGCACTAATCCCTGTCTGGGTTGTTGACAGTGGTAGCCAGGCACCATCTAGTCACCATCTAGTTCTTCTGGTCTCATGGTCATATAGGCTGAGAGGTTCACATGGTCCACTAGTCCCTTGGACTAATTGTTTCCATGTGTCTTTGGTTTTCTTCATTCTTCTTTGCTCTGAACAAGAGACCTACTGTTGCATCTAGATTAAACTTGCAAGCTTTTAAGACCCCAGTCACTACTTAACAAAGTAGGATGTAGAACAATGTTTTGTGTAATATGTTATCCCAATTGAGCTTGATGTCCCCTGCAATCATGGTCCTGAGCCACAAGTCCTCCCTTAAGGTGGCTGGTGGTGACAAAGTTATCACAACTTTGCCCCTTGTTAGCTCTATTATATATATGGATATTCTTACAGCACATATAATATCTTGTCATTCTTGAGGTACGTATTTGTGGTCTCTCATGCATCCCAATGAGGTCATAAGCACAAAATACTCTCCTAGCTAATTTAGCCTCGGCAAAAGTTCATCAGCAAAAGGAATCCAAGAATGATAGGAGTAAGGTTTCTTAGTAAAGTCAGAGGCTTTATTTAAACAGCTTTGTGAATAAAACTTACCTCTTTTTATAATTGTTAAACCTTAAAAAAAAAAAAAAAACTCACAAACCTATATATAAGTAAATGATTTTGCCTTGTTAATAACAATGGAAATATAGAAATTATAACATGAAGTGGGAAGAGAGCTGTTACATTGTGGGGAATTGCAGTCAATGTCATGAAACAAAATGTGTATGAATTGCTGTATGGAAAATGAATTTACCCTATAAACTTTCATCCAAATAACAATAAAAATTAAAAAGATTCTGATTAAAAGAAAGAAAGAACTTATAACCTGGCAGGAAAACGTGAAATATCCTAGGAGTAAGAGGAGCTCTGCCTTGCAGTTGAGAATGTCACCATATAAGTAAAGGTGGAGTAGTAGTTAAGGCATTTGGCTGCTAACCAAAAGGTCAGTGGTTTGAACCCACTAGCTGCTCTGCAGCAGAAAGGTGAGGCAGTCTGCTTCCATAAAGATTTACAGTCTTGGAAACCCTACAGGGCAGTTCTACTCTGCCCTTGTAGGGTTGCTATGAGTTGGAATCGACTAGATGGCAGTTGGTTTGGTTTTTTTGGTTTAGCTGTAAGTAATCCTAGAGGAATTAGGTGGTTAGCAGATGGAATGGAAATAAATAAAATCTGGGGAAGAGACAATCTGACTTAAAATAATAATAAATATACAGGAATGGTTAGTAAATAAATGTGAGTAAATACTACTTAATAAGGAAATCGAATAAATATTATTTAATAATGAATATGAGTAAAATCTCATATTCCTTCCAGCTTTTTGGGCTGGAATCCTCTCACTTTCCATGGGAACTGCACTCTGAGTTTTAGGGAGAGGTAAAGAAGCCCCACTCTTGTGCCACAAAATGAAATCTGTTCTTAGTCTTCTGTTGGCTTCCTTCATTCCATAAAGATATTTGTATGCTTATGTAAGGAAGATTCTTCTATTTCCATTTTTTTTCCAAGTTTTCTAGTTTCAAGCTCTACAGTTCATGCTTAACTTGTGTTTCTGAATACACAATGTATTGAATTCAATTAAATGGATTTGTTTTTGTTGGATAGGCTTCCCCTGCCCCCTCCAACTTGGCTTAGCTTTGAAGTCCCAAAGTATCATCCAATAAAACCAGGAAATGCCACCAATTGCTCCCTCAAGTTCTCACAGTAGAGGTATTTTAAGTGAGTTTCATGCATTTGCCATTCTGTGATTAATTCTGTAAGACCACAACTTAGGAAACAGAATACATTTCAATTTTGGTTTATGTTTGCTTTTCGTGTCTTTAAACCCAAAGTATTTGGCATCTAATAATTTAGGTTCTCGTATACCACAACTTCTGAAAATTAAAATAGTTAAGAAATAATTTTTGTGTGCTGTTGAGTCAATTCTGACTCATTGTGACTCTATAGGACAGAACAGAACTGCCCCACAGGCTGTAATCTTTATGGAAGTGGATTGCCACATTTTTCTCCTGCAAGAGGCTGCTTGTAGATTCGAACCACCAACCTTTTCGTTTGCAGCCAAGCACTTAAATACTGTACCAGCAATACTCCTTTTACACATAATTAATGTCCTCTAAACCAGTAGTTTTCAACAAGGAGTGATTTTGGCAATAGCTAGAAACTTTTTTGGTTGTCATAATCGGGGAATGGGTGTTGTTGGCATCTAGTGGGTAGAGACCACCGTACAGCGCAGAGGACAGCTGCCCACAACTAAGAAATATCCATCCCAAGTGCCATTAGCACTGAGTCCAAGAAACCCTGCTGCAACTTGAGTGAGCAGAATTTGTACAGATTACTACTTACTCCAAGAAAAGGAACAAAACACTCCTAATTTTCCCATCATGAGAGGATATAGATGACATTGGGGCTTTGTGAATATGATGGAAAAATGTAGGCTGCAGCTTCCAAAGGGTCAAGGCGCACCGGCCCTAACCTATGCCGTTCAGAATGCAAGAACGAGAAAGCTCTTTGTTTATAGACAAGAACTTACTCTTGGCTTGACAATCTGTTTTGTCTAAGATAAAAAATATGCTCATTAAATAGACACTGCTCCAGTCTATCCTTGCAGACACTCAGCTCCCATGCCAAAGGAAGAACTAGCTTCATTTTTAATAAGGAAATGCATTTCCCCTAACCATTCTCATTTTTTACATAATTAATTATAACGGTTCATTGTTAGCACTCTGGAGTCTCATTAATATCAGTATAATTACTCTCTTGATATCAATTAATATTTCTGATGTTTGTCAAAAAAAGCACTGCAGTTTGAAGCTGCCGGGCTGAAGTGAATCATAGCTGTCTATATCAGTGACAGACAGTGCAACTCGGAGTACGTTCTTTTAAAAAAGAACAATCCATCACACATCTCATTAGAGAGCAATTTGCTGCATTTGGGATTTGTCACTAAATTGCCCTGTAGTGGCAAAGCATTCCTCTGAGAAATGTTCCTTTGGCAGTCACCCAGCTGTATAGTACATACCTAGCAAGTTCTATTACTGTTGCAATTTGCTACCCTGCAATGTCATCAGGACAAAAGTGTTCCCCTCATCTTTCACTACCACTTGACTTTGTACAATCCTATTAATTTTGCTACCTGTTGAAAGCTGATACGTACCAGCCTGTACCACTCCAGATCCAGGTGGACAGCTCCTGTGCTTCAAGCAGAACTCCACCTCGAGGTAGCGCCCTTCCTGGCATTCACACACACGGTTGTGGGTGCGACTGCACTCCTGCTTGACGTACTGCAGCTCCTTGCACACGGGGCTGCAGTACAGACACTCGTCACTGGTGTGCCAGCTGTCTGTGTAGTAGTGGTCAGGGCATGGGGCACACACAGTCTTCCACCTTGCTGTACAGTGCTGCTTTAGGTAGGTGCCGGGAGGACATTTGTCACAAATCAGCTGACGAGAGGTTTCAGGGTCATAATGAAGGTACTTGGGAGGAAAGGTTTCCTGTGTGGTCCATTTAATGGAGAGGTCCAGGAACTACAAGGAAAAAGGGAAAGAGTGGTAACCTAGCATGGAAATAGGATGGTTCTTCCATACAAAGGCATCAGTAGACTCAAAATAGTCCTCTACTCCCTTAAGCTTAATGTCCTTTGTGGCTGTTGAAATGCATCACAAAGAAGGCTCAAAAACCACGATTGTTGCCTCTAGTAGCTTAATCTCAAAAGGAGCTCTAGTAATTCAGTGCCTAAGGCATTTAACTGCTAACCAGGAGGTTGGCGGTTCAAACCCATCAAACTCCTTGGAAGACTGGGCAATCTACTTCTGTAAAGATTTACTGCCTCAAAAACCAAAGAGGGTCGCTATGAGTTGGAATCAACTCGATGGCAGTGGGTTTGTTTTCTTTTTGGTTTAGCTTAATCTCAAAGGTGGCAAATGTGAGTGGCAGCAAACATATTAGTAAATCCAGGCTCACAGACGACTGGCATGGAATGATCGTCAGAATAGAAATCTTTGCACTGAGCTGTCCCACTAAGTAGCCAGGGGAATGGGTGACACGCCTCTCCCCAGGCATCGGACTGATCTCTAAATTAGTGAGTTGGGTGAACTGGTGCTTCTCAGAACAGCTACACCAGAACCACCTGGCATCCTTGTTAAAATACACATTTTAGGGGATTCACCCCTAGACATTCTGATCCCACAGGTCTGGGGTTGGGCTCTGGAATGTCAGAATCTCCTGGCGTGGCTCTTACATGTGAGGTATGTGTTCCATAAGTACCCTTACACTCATTTACTTGACAAATGGTTATTGAGTCCATTAAGTGTGCCAGGTTCTGTTCCTGGCTTTTGGGATACAGGAGTGAATTAAAAAACAAAACAAAAGCCTGCCCTTGTGAAGTTCACAATCTAACCAGGGGTACAGAAACATAATAATAAATTATACATTAGAAGGTTACAGGGAGCTCTGGTAGCATAGTGCCTAAGGCATTTGACTGCTAACCAGAAGGCTGGCAGTTCAAACCCACCAGCCACTCCTCAGAAGGAAGATAGGGCAATCTACTTCCATAGTGACACTGCCTCAGAAACCCAAGGAGGGGTCGCTATGAGTCAGGACCAACTCGACAGCACATAACAACAACAACAACAGAAGGTTAGAAGGTGATAAGTGCTGTAAAAAAAAAAAGAAAGAAAGAATAAAGCAGTAAAAGAGACTGGAAACATAGAGAGGAGGTTGGAAAGATTTCAATTTAAATGGAGTTGTTACAGTAGCCATGCTTAGCACTAAAAGATATCTCTTTTGGTTTTCACATTCTAAGACTTAATGATTCCAGATGATTAGTGAAATAAACAGCTACTGACATGTGACAGTTATCTGATTACATCACCATCCCTCTGACCATTCATCTATTCACTTATGCAACAGCTATTCCTTGAATGCCTACCACGTGCCAAGCACCAGGAAGAAGGTGGTGAATGAGAGACATGATCCCTGTCTGCAGGAAGCTTGTAATCCAGTGAAAAGATTCTAGAACTTGAAGACTATCACTCCCTCCAGAATATCATCACACCAAATCAAAACCAAACTCACTGCCATCGAGTTGACTTTGACTCATAGCGACCCCATTGGGGGTTTCCAAGGTGATAAATCTTTATAGAAGTAGATTGCCCAGTCTTCCTTCTGCAGAGTGGCTGGTGGGTTTGAACTGCCAAACTTCTGGTTAGCAGTCGAAATGCCTTAGGGACTATGCCACTAGAGCTCCTTTTTGACTCACACAGACAAGTGAATTCTAGAAGAATGAATGACCACTTCTCTTCAGGTTAGTTGGCAAAAATTTCAGGGAGGAGGGAGGGTTTCAAAAGTTTCATTTAAAAATGGCCAGAAGAGGTTTAAACAGAAGGAGAAAGGATGCCACGGGTGAAGGGGCTGCTGAGGAGGGCAGCTCCATCTGGGCATTCTACCTTGTATTCCAGATCTCAAAAGGTCTTCAAGGGAGTACTGAGGTAGTTCTTCACCTAAAATTTCAGGAATACACACACACACACAGTGTTGTTTGTGTGTAGGGGGTGGTTTGTTTGACTTTTATTGTTTGTGTTTGGTAGAGGGCTCAACACTGACTAGTTTCAGGCTTTGGGGAGCGAGCAGTCCAAACTCAATCATTATTTTTTCTAAACTCTTCTTTGCAGAACTCAGTAAATCTCACAGGAGCCCCTGACCTAGAGAGTGCATGCCAACCTAGAGAAACAGCACTCTCTTTGAGTTTGGGGTGGAAAGGCGAAGAATGGTTGTTTCATAAGCATTAAACATTTTAATCTAAGTCACTTCATCCATGTTTTAATGAAACATGGCAAGCTCCAGGTCTGCTTGCACCTAATATGAACCGCTAACATGAAAACACGAAACGCAAGACATCTCACCCGGTTCCAGGGCTCTTCTAATGAAGGGCAACTGTCAAAATGAAGCACTGGTTTGTTGTAGGGGACTCTTACCCAACACAGAAAATAAAGTGTAAACATGGGGCTGGTTCAGTGGTCTTCTCAGGAAATACTCTTGACCTGGGGTTCCTGGGGAAAACATGTTCTTGAACTTCACTGTGACTTTTTATTGGCTCTGATGGATTGGGTCCAAATTAGGAGAAAGGAATGAATGGATCAGTAGTGGGTGAACATTCTAATCTGATCTCGAGTTTTCAGAAACAGATGAATCTATTTATTCATTCAACACATATTTATTGAGCACCCACTATGTGCCAGGCATTGCAGAATGCAGATGAACTCAAGGAGGATGGGTTTTGCACTCATGCAGCTCAGAGTCTAGTGAGAAGGCAGACAGCAATAAGGGAAGAAATAAATAATTACGAATAATGGTAAATATTATGAAGGAAACAAGCGACGTGAAATGACTGACTTTGTTGCCAGCTAGTCATTTGAATGTGTTATGGAACGGCTTTCAAGACCCATTGTGTGAATTTGGCTCGAATCTTTCCAAAATGCTCAGTGTTAAGGCATGAGATTTTCCCAAAGCAATTTGCAAAGACTCATGCAAGCAATGAGGAAATACTCCTTTCCCCCTGTTGTTAGCTTCTGCTTTCCTGGAAAGCCACTTTTGAGGGTTTTGTTTATTTTCAAGAGGCCTGGCTCAGAGATCCAGGGGAATCCCTTTGTCTTGAGGGCTGCTGTTGAGTAAGTCACATGCTGGTAGGGCTGGCAGCCCTGAGATTCCTCCCAGCCTGGCTCCCCATCTTCTCCCTTTCCCATTTCAACACAGTGGATATTCTCACTTGTTCATCCTTGCAGGCTGTTTTCTGTCTTACTAAGAAATGCTGAGGATCTACGGGAAAACCCAACAGATTCGGCTTGTGTTCCCCCTAGACCAAAAAAAAAAAAAAAACAGAACAAAACTCACTGCCATTGAGTCAATTCCCACTCACAGCGATCGTCAATGGGCTTCTGAGGCTATAAATCTTTATGGAAGTAAACTGTCCCATCTTCCTTCCATAGAGCCGCTGGTGGGCTTCAACCACTGACCTTCTGCTTAGCAGCCAAATGCCTTATTCGCTATGCCACCAGAGTTGCATAAATACAAGATGGGACCAAGAATGATGATAGTACTTATATTTTTCTAGGTAATTGGACTTGACATGGTTGGTTTCCTGAAACCATGCTTTAAATTTGTTGCCATTTCTTCAAAGTACAGGAAAGTTGGGATGAAAGGAGTCCATAGAGGAAAACAATGAATACAGTTGACTTAAAGATTAGAGAGCAATTACATTAGTGAAGGAAATTCCTTCAAGGCTGATATATGGAATTAACATGCATATTTTTAAAAGTCAGAATGCCTTGAAGAACCATAGACTTGTTTTCAACAAGTTCAATTGGGTCTTTGTGTTTTATTTGAAACTTTCCACTTTGGTTAAAAAGACAGAACTATGTGTGGCCAAAATTGGATGGTTAGTTCTCAATCTCTGGTTAGCCCCAATTCCCACACTGAATTTCTGGTGAATGAAACCAGTTACTGGACAGAGGATGGGCAAAATTAATAGAGCTAGCTCTTCATCTCACTTCTCTTTCTCACCTTCTTCTGCATATCCTGGAAAAGCAACTAAAAAAAAGATGCTGTTTGACAGATCATCAGATTATTGCTGTATCTTCTTGCCCATGTGATAATATTTAAAATCTAATTAGAACATAAAAGGGATTTCTGCAGAAAATGCAGTCTCCGAATAACCACTGCGAAAGAGCTACAAAAGTTAGGACACATGTATAGGTATGTTTTCAGAAGCAGAGAGCGCTTGGTATAGAAAAGGCCACTCTCTGTTTTGTGTTTTATATCCTTGACTTTTGAAGAAAGATTAAATGGAATTTTCTTCCCAATTTTTCCTTTCGTGCCCCTCTTATTCCTTGCCTATTCATTCATTGGTATAGAATCTTTGTGCTTGAAGGAAAAACCCAATTCCCCCAGTCTAATGCTCCCCACTAGAAATACCCTGACCCTCTCTTTTCCTTCCATTTTTAACATTGGACAGTTTTAAAGCATTTTCTATTTCAAACCCAGCAAAACCTTGGTTTGTTCTAATGTTCTCTTTCCTCATTTATCAAATGTTACTAGATGTTGGTGATGGTAGTAGGTGAAGCCCCTCTAGGTCTCATTGTACTATTCTGAGGTCCAGTTATCGGTTAATTAGCTGATTAGAAACAATTGTCTTAATCTAAACTCCTACCTACTTCTTGTTCCACCTTACTTCATTTGTGAAACTCCTTTTACAGCAGAACTCGCTTTCCCAATCTCCACTAAGGCGGCTTTGCAGATTCGCCCATGTCTCCCACTCTCTCTGTGAAATCAACTGCTGCCCCAGTCCTGTAACTCTCTCTCAGCTGTGTCATCTTTCTAACATGCCGTCTCACATCTGCTCTTCCCAGTGAGCTGCATGCTTAAAGGCAGCTGCAGAATCAGTGCAGGAGTTCCTGGGTAGAGTGGGAGAACAATGGGGAACAAAACTCAAAATCATAAAAAAAAAAAAAAAAAAGACCAGGCTTACTGG